ATATATATCAAGTAGCTTAGAAACAGTCCATTATCTAAGGTGTTTTAAACTCCTACGCAATAAAAATGACAGAAAAAATGAACAAAAAGGTTTCAAACTGATAGAATTGCATCAAAGAAATCTATAAATGACTGGAAATAGATCTTGATAGAATGCCTGAAGTTATGGGAAACATATCATCACAAAAAACGGCAGCCGAAATTTAATCCGTCACCCACTAGACGCGAAAAACTTATTTCATTGAAGAACGTGAGGAAAAGGAAGAGAAAAGAAAGAATAAGAGTGAATGAAGTGGCGTGGGTCCAAGAAAAAAATGAACTAAATTGAAGGCATCTGATAAAACTAAAAAATCCCAACATCTGAAAATCACACAGTGTCGTTGCCTGCCAATAAGGAAAGTCTTTCAATGCCTATTTGATTTCTGATCAGCCATCACGCGTCAGAAACAGCTTACTCCAGTTTCAGAAATCCTGGCGGCGAAAAACTGAACGTTGTGAACAACAACAACAACAACAACAACAACAACAACAAAACTTTTTCCCATTCTTTAAAAGAAATCTATAAAGAATTATGAGTAAATTCTATGTAAGTCAATGATTCATACTTTCGATAAAAGCAAAAGCAAAAACAAAATATTGACGAGAAAAACAACCATAGTAGCGATGAAAAAAAAAAAACGTTTCTGTATCTTTAATACCAGTTGCTTTACAGAAAAGAAATTTCTTTGATGATCACATCCCACAATTCATCAGCAGCGCAATTACTGTTTAATACATTCAACATTACAAGCCGTATATCAAACTATAACGGTTTTAAACACCATTACCACCACTAACAAAATAAAAATAAAAAAAATGGCGACAACACTAAAATATTCTTTTCGTTCAAATTTTTAGAAGAAATAATCTTGAATCAAATCAACAGTACCAATTTCAAACACTATTAAAGATCTGACGTCTCCTCCATTTACACAACGATTTTCAGTTGATTATAAGATTTCCTAGAGATATTGGTAGATAGATGATAAGAACTATTTACGGAATTATCATTAGTGTAAGTTTTACAACTGGTATGTAAGCACACAATACACAACAATGGTAT